ATCAAGAAAGTCTTCCGTTCACACGGATACGGCTCAATAAACGTGTCCTTCCACACGAGACCGCTCGACCCGCTGGAGACGCTGTAGTACATATGCCGGGCCTGTAAGTGGCACTGTACTTCCGCCACAAAATACACCAAAAGCAGCGAAGAAGACTTCCCGAGCATGCATGGTTGCCATGGTTGCCCTTCGTCACTGTGTTGCTAGGGCATTAGCGATATTATAGCTTGTTTGCTGCTATTAATGCAAACCTACATTCACAATGTTAGGTATATCTCCTCACTCTGAAAAACACAGACACTTATTTTCCTATCTATCCGCTTTGATTCCCGTCATGGATGGGCAGCCACTGGCAGCATTTCCTGTTACCCATCATCCTCTGCTGTCCTTCCTTTGGTGACAGTCACCATAGATATGTCAGTCTGTCTGAATCTGTTTCGGCTACACAACCGTCTTTTTTAAATTCTTATGCATTTATGTAAGAGAGGAGCTTCAAAGTCAGACCTTGATAGTTTACTCTATGCAATGATGATGGAAATTAACTATCAGAAAAATGGATGCCTACTATGATGAAAATAAAAAATAGATCATGTTATTTTCTCCAGTTGCGACACTGCTAGCTGAAGTATGTGGCAGTTGGTAAGAATAATTCCATCCATTCCAATTATTGTAACTGTCTACCACTTACTTATTAGTGGAAGAATAAGCTGAGTTTCAAATTGATAGTATATTCTGCTCTGTGTCATTTCCAGCAGCTTCTTGTCGTAGCAACAGAGGGAGTGATACAAAAATGCCACCTTGGTTTGAGAAGACAAAAGGAAAATGTCTCATTATCTGGCCAACAGTTTTACAATTTACAAAAACATCTTTCTCACTGTCAATACGCTGAAGATAAATCAGATTCATACAGATTTGAAGAGATTGTGATGTTAATGTATCTAGGGAACTGTATTTCTTTCGATAATACACTCACAACAGCTTTTAAAATCCTGAATTGCAAACAGTAATGTTTCTTTCCGCAATATATATTATACACAGATCTGTGCAATCTGTTTTAAACATGGTGCACATATGTATGTTAAAGTAATGTAAGACTGTTTTTGATGTCAAATTAGAAGAGGTTGACATTGGTAAATAAAGTACATGATAATGTCTACTTAGATACAATTTTGAATGTATCATCATGGATTATTATTAATAAAATACAAACAAGTTTGTTGATATTTCCAATTATTACAAAGTTACCTCTTGATATTCTTAGCTGCAGCAATGTTATAAGAGTGTAAATACATTGACAGTGTTAGGAAATTAAAGAATATGTGTGCAAATATATTTTTTTTTGAAATTGTCATATATATTTGTTGTTATACATTATAGCTCTGCTTGGTAGAAGCTGTTTTGAAACCAAAGTACACATCGAAGGTTTGGAAAAAAAGCAATTCAATTTAACAAAATATTTATTAAGGTTAATCCCTTGTTTTATTTTATAAAATATGTTGTCAATGTCAGGAGCCGTTAAAAAACGATGGTCAGTGCTGATTCTGTTTACAGGTTTTGTCAGTATTTGGTACTATGGTGATCGTCTCTGTTTAAAAGAAGGTGGCTCTCTTTTCAAGAAGGTGGCTATCTTTTAACATGGCTAAATCGCCATGGTAAATCATGCTGCACACCTAATCTGGTCTGGAACAGGTTTAATGTTTCTGATTGAAATCGGCTCTAAAAGCTTCTTTGGTATTAAACGTTTTTGAAGATAGCATCAAGATTCTTGCCTATTCCTAGAGAAACATTAAGAGGTTCTATTAAGAGTGATAAAGTTATTATTAAATAGACAAATGGCTTTTCCTAATTATTTTATTATTGTCCATGAATGATGTTTGAGTGGATACGTTATTCATGCTAAGTTGTTGAGTCCTAGTAATGCCACGACGCTGAAGTTGGCTTCCGATTCAGAGCATCTGATTCGGCAGTTAAGGGGAAAGTTAAGGGAAATGTAATTGACAGCGCTGAGCGAACGATCCTCCGTGTTTGAACCTCTTAAATCGCTGCATGGCCGATTTATTTGGACTGGATGATCCCAGAGAGGCTAAACATTCTTTATAACACAGTTTGAGATTTGTGAAACCTTAATTGTATTTGTTAAAAAAAAAAGAAGGGAGATTTCGGTGCTTTTTTCGCATCTTGACCACATTAGACCAGGTCCTGATCTAAAACCACTGGACCTACACTCATCAAATCTGGACTGGATTATCCCAGAGACTCAGAGTTTGAGATTTGTGAAACCTTAATTCTATTTGTAAAAATAAAAAAAGGGAGATTTCAGTGCTTTTTAAAAAGCTCGCTTTTTGTTTCCTTGAACTTTTATTCCTTTTACTGCATTTGGGTCCTATTTTTCCCCAACCCTGACACTCAGTCTGCTTCAAATTAACTTATTATCCTCACAGAATCATTTTATTAAAGTTAAAGCAAAACTTACTAAAGCATTCTAACTGTTTATGCTTTAACAGCAATTAATAAATGATCCAGTCATAAATAATTTGCACCGCGTTGCTAAGAGACAGCCAGCAGCAGTGCAGCTGACAGTAATCCACCTCTGTGCTGCTCACATGCTGAAGTTGATCAGTATGAAGTTGTCCATGGTTCAGTGCAGAAAGGAGACTAAACTATTTTTTTTGTACTGTTTTGCCCTCCTTCAAAATGCTACTGTATTTGGCCAGGTATTGTCAGATACTCACAATAGACATGAAAAGGCTTATTACCCTACGTAAATCAAAAAGGAAGAACATAGATAAAGCCCTCTTGTGGCCAGGGCCCTGTGCTGCGAACAGATGGGCCAGTGAGCCGACTGTTAATATGTTTTATTAGACTTAGTATTACTGCTGTTAATGCTCTGTAGCCTAAAACTGTTCTTCCCAGAAATCAGTAAATACAAATTGGATTTCAATAAAAATTGCTTCCATTTTAGAAAACAATAAAAGCC